AGAAATAAATAAGGACAAACAAATGGGGCTAAATTGATATGTATAAATGAAGAAAAGCATCATTTAGGATAGAAGTACAGTTTTCTGTCATGATGCAATGACACAAAGGGCTAACAAAATCTAGAAACCTAAATGCCCATAGTATAGGGAATGTTTTTCTTGCATAAGAAAAATTACTATTAATTTATCAATTTTAATTATGTATAGATATATATACACACATTAAAACGCATACACAGGTACATACATGTACACTGCATTACTCACACTTATAATAATTATAAAATGTATTCTTAAGACAATATTTCATAAAATGTGTTTTCTCCAGTCCTTTGTGGACACTGAGATTTGATTTTGTGAATAGCAAGATTTACCTATATTGAAAATTTTCAGATTATTTTTAATAATATTAAACATAATATGTATTTTGTTTAAACATGGCATATCTATCATACATACATACTCCTTCCTGAAATCATCTAAACAACTGTAAATAAATATTTAAATAAGCAAAAATTTATGAAGACAAAATAAGGAAGTCATCATCTGTAGGTGAGAAATTTTGGAAGACGTAAAGTAGATTGAGCACTGGTAACTGACTTTGCTGTAACTAAGAGCACTCACCATATAGAACCCAAGAGTGGTTGCTAGAGTGGGGAGCAGGAGACTGTGGAGTGCAGTGATGGGCTAAGGGGCACACCACACATATACAACCAGGTTTCTCCACTGAGAATTAGAGATTTGGTTTCTTGATAGAAAAGTACCGGAGATATATGAGATATCAAAACAAGTGGCAGGCTGTGACTGAAATGGGGATTAAAATAGGGAAACAATTGATTTACATATTGCCATTCTAGTGTCTGATGTATTCTGCTGTCTATCCTATTCTCTACTATCCCCCCTCCCCTCCCCTCTTCTCTCTCTACCCCCTCTACTGTAAATCATTTCTTCCACTTGTATTATTCTTCTCTTACCCCTCCTTTCCTCTTATATGTAATTTTGTATAACCCTGAGGATCAACTTCCCTTTTCATGCAATTTCCCTTCTCTCTCCCTTTCCCTCCCACCTCTCATCCCTGTTTAATGTTAATCTTCTTCTCCAACTCTTCGTCCCTACCCTGTCCTTAGTTACCCCCCTTATATCAATGAAGTCCTTTGGCATTTGTTTTTTAAGGATTGGCTAGCTTCACTTAGCATAATCTGCTGTAATGCCATCCATTTCCCTCCAAATTCTATGATTTTGTCGTTTCTTAATGCAGAGTAATACTCCATTGTGTATAACTGATGTGATACAGCAATCTGTATACGGGGTAAAAATGGGAGTTCATAACCCACTTGAATCAAACTGTGAAATATGATATATTAAGAACTGTGTAATGTTTTGAACTACCAACAATAAAAAAAGAAGTATATGAAATAAATAAACTTTGTGTTTAGACTTGAAAAAAAAATAGGGAAACAAATAAAACAATGTCTGCATATTGAATCTGGAACTACCTTTGCCTTCCATTCTCCTTTTCATAGCACATTATATACTTCCATAATGAGACTGGATGATTCTTATAAGAAACTGGTTATTGCCTAAGAAAAATCCTTGAGATACATTTGTGAACCCCGGGACAGAAAGGACTGCTTACACTTAATCCCTCTGCTCTAAAGCTCTCTATTGGATCAACTTCACTCAAATATGCAGAAATTCTGATTAACATTTCAATATCTTACACTTGAAACTCATTTGAGAGATTTCCAAAACCCAGAAATTTTCAGAAGTTTTCTACATGAACTAGAGAAACCAAAACAAATCATTAAGATAAAGAAATGAATCACGATCTATAGGAAACAGAGATTCAATAAGAATTGAAAAAAAAACAGTTAATATCTTTAGAGACTGAAAGAAGGCACTACTTTCAAAAGATTAGGACACAATAAAAAAGAACAAAAAGTTACAAGAAAATTAAAATGTAATGACCAATAAAAAATAAGTTAAAGGTATATATCACAGACATCTCCCCCAAAAGAAAACAATTAAATTAATAAAGGAGAAAAAAGAAGAAATTGTTTTAGTCAGCATTTTTGACACTGTGACCAAAAGACCTGACTAAAAAATCTTAAGTGAAGGAAAATTTTATTCGGAGCTCACAGTTTCAGAGATCTTAGTCCATAGATGGCCAACTCCACTGCTCTGGGGCCCAGATGAGGCAGAACATCATGGTGGAAGGGTGCAGCAGAGAAAAGTATCTCAGATATGGCAACTAGGAAGGAGACAGAGTTTGGTCTCCAGAACGAAATATATACCCCAAAGGCATGCCCCCAGTGACCCACCTGCTCCAGCCACACCCTACGTTCCTACATTTACCACCCAGTTAACACAATGATTACATTAACCCAATCACATAACCTCTAAACTTGCTTGCATCCTTTCACACATGAGCTTTTGGAAGACAGCTTATATCTAAACTATAACATAAATTAAAGAGTAGAATGACTAAAAGAATGGAGAAAAAAATGACAAATGCCTGAGAATTTCCAAAGCTGAAAGTAAACTTTCCAGATAGAAAAATCTTGAATATTCAACAATAAATTGAAAGGAAAATCTTCATTGTAAAAATCAGATCACAAGAGATAACAAGTACACCCTACTTAAAAGAATTTGAAATGTATGTGTGTGATATGTATATTCTGTGAGTGTGTGTGTGTGTGTGTGTGTGTGTGTATACAAACGAGAAGATGGGAGCAATTGGGATCACATTTCTTAACATCTTACAAAATAAATTGGAATATTGGTTTAAAAATACTTAGTTAAAGGTGATTTTCAATGCAAAAATTTTATGCCAGGTCAGATTATCATAAACTATGAAGACAAAATGAAGATACTTTCAAATATTCATGACTAAAATTTTTGCATAAAATTTCTCAGAATGCTTAGAATATCTCAGGGAGTTCTTTCACTGAAATCTAGAAAAATAACTATACTAAGGAATATATGGGAAATAAAGAGAGTCTAACACCAATAGTAAATTAAGCGAGATTCCTAAATGACACTGCTGAATCATGTAAGGAGTAATGTTTTCTTCATAATATTCCAAATTATAATATAAAAATTTCTACTTGAGTACCATGTTTGAATGACATATTTCCTTTAAAATATTTTAACACTTTGATACTTAAAAGTAGCTTGCTGTTGCTTCACTTTACATGTCTCTGCATACTTGGTTCGAAGAGTTTTCATTTGTGGTTATCAGCTGTTTTCCATCTAGTGCTCAAAAAAACTTTCAAAAAAAATCTGTTTCATATAAGTCAGAGCAGTGTAGAGTGGCTTTTATTGACTCACACCTTAATGGCACACTATAAACCTACAGTGAGAGATGCTGGGTGACAGCAAACCCATCTGTGTTAGTGTGTTGACTGTAAAGCTTTTGCTGATGATATGGCTATTTTATTACCTGGTATTCTCTCATGAGGAGTGCATGTACCTTGACTCAGAAGCAACTGTATTACTCTAATCTTATGAACACAGGTTTATACCATCCTTTTAATTTTACTCATGGTTTTTTCAGATATAGAAGTTTTAATATAACCATGTTGTTGAATAAATGTTTGCATTCTTTTTTTTCTTTAGAAACCTTTTCTTTCCCATATTTTTCAAACAAGGCAAATATTTGCCATTTTCTTTCCTTTTTGAATAGTGTTAATTAGTGTACTTGTTATTTAAGTTATTAATCTATAATTTATTTTGATGTATAGAAAAAAGAAAACATTTACATTTTCCTCTAAATAGCTTTACTCATCCATTATTTATTAAATAAAATATATTATCCCAACTGATCTGTAAGTCTTCTTTTATAATATGTTATATTTGAGGGATTAGAATCTGTTTCAGGGTTCTGTTTCCACTGGCTTTATCCGTGAGTTCTTGTGCCAGTAAACATTGTTTTAGTTATCATAATTCTGAATTTAGTTTAAATCATTTCTTGTATATGTCCTTTTCACTGCTTTTTTTCCTCAGCTGTGACCAAAAAGATCTGATAAGAACAATTAAAGGGGGAAAGTTTATTTGTGGGCTCATGGTTTCAGAGTTCTCAGTCCACAGACAGCCAAGTCATTCATTGGGGAATGAGGTGAAGCAGATCATCAGGGTGGAGGAAAGGTGCCCAAGTGGCCATGAAGAAGCAGACAGAGAGCTCTGTTCTATAAGGACAAAGTCTAAACCCCAGTGGCATGCCCCCAGGGACCCAATTCCTCCAGCCATAGCTTGCTTGCCTGCAGTTACCACCAAATTAATCCCTACCAGGGGATTAATACACTGATTAGGTTAACCCTTTTATAATCCAATCATCTCATCTAAACTTTCTTACACTGTCTCATACAAGAACTTTTGGGGGACAACTAATATCTAAAAGTGGATAAAATTTTCTTAGTAAGATTTTTTTCCTATTCACTTTTGCTCCCCTACATTAAAATAATTTTAGTTTTGTGATCTAATTAAATCTATAACAATTTAAATGACATATTTACTAGAATGAGTCTTGTTATGCTAAGAGCATAATATGCTTTTTATTATATTCAAATCTGCTTCTCTATGCCCAAATAGTTATGTTTCTTTCTGTCCCATATACATTTTGTTAAGATTAAATATTTTATTTATATTTTACTGATGTATAGGAATGCAACTGAAGTTTATCTCTGCTGTACAAGGAAAACACTGTGTCCAAGAACTACACTTTTGAATCAGTCAGATCTGTCATCAAACAACAACGGACCCAAGTCTTTGGTATTATTTTCCTCATTTATGCAGTGGTTGTTTGTGAGAGCTGTTTAGTTCAGTGCCAACATGTAGGAACTCTTAACTAAAAGGCAGCTTCTCTAATACCTAACCATCACCATTGTCATCTGACCATCCCACACTTTCATGATTTCTGAGATTTAAAATTTATGTTTCCTACATATATAAGCACAGCATCTGCAAAAACAATAATTTTATTCTCTAAAAATGTGTATTTTGCGCTCGCTTTAGCAGCACATATACTAAAATTGGAAAAATACAGAGAAGATTAGAATGGTCCCTGCGCAAAAATGACATGCAAATTCATGAAGCGTTCAATATTTTTCTGCTGTCGTGTATTTAAAAAATAAAATCAATAAAAAATAAATAAAAATGTGTATTTCTTCTTTCATATTATATGTTTGACATAACTTCCAAAACAATATTAAATAACAATGCTCCCATTTATATCCTTGTCTTTATATCTATTTTATGAGAATACTTTTAAAAACAAGCTATTAAGTAAGACTTGGAATTTTTAAGATCAATATTCTCAATTATAATAATTGATATTTATAATAAAGAACTTTAGTTTCTACAATTTTCAAACAAATTGATATTAAAAATTTAGAGTGCTTTTTCGGATCACTTTGAGGTAATTTTACCCTTTTCGTATTAGACATTGGTATATAATATATTATGTTAATAAGGTTGACAATGTTAAGCCATCCTTGCATTCTTGGATGGTTCCTTTCATGGTTAAGATGCCTAGCTTTTTAAATATATTGTTGAATTCAGTTTCCTACCAATTAATATATATTTACATTCACAACCAAAATTGGTATAAAACTTATTTGCTGCTTTTTAAACAATCTAATTTTTATATTCTAGCTTCTCAGTAATTTTTCCAGTATGGAAATATTCTGGAACTGTTTATGTAACCATAAATATTATCCTTAGTTTTTTATGTAACATTTAACTTAATCATCACTAAAAACTCTCTGAAAGTGGCATTCTTATTCTTACATAGGTGGGAAGACTCAGGCAGATAAATGTCAATTAATTTTCCTATCTCAAAATGTGTTTCTTCAAAATTCTATGCATTTGAACACTATATTGCTTATTATGACTTTCATATATTGTTTTCCAATTATATTATAAAACCACATTTCTTACATTAGGCCTCAATTTTGAACATTCATTCAATGTTTATGGTATACTTCATTCCTGCCAGTCTAGCAACAGGAAATATATCAGTGAGGATTACTAGAGATTATCAATGAGGAAATTACATAGTACATGTCCTCTTCTAAATTTTTATTACTTCAAATAGTACTTAGCCTTAAATTTTTCAAAAGCCTATTTCAATCTATATTTAAACACTTATCAAAGTCAAAAAATTGGCACTTTAAAACAATATCCTATTTCAGCTAAACAGTTTTGAACACCTGAAACTCCACCCACCAACTGTTGTTATTTCTCATTAATTATTCTTTGTTAAAGTAATTTTCTTTTAACATTTCATTTATATTTGTGGATACTGTTTTCGGACTATTTTTTGATAATATAATTCAGTTTTAAAACTCAACTTCCAATAATTATTTAAGTTTCAATATGTGATTAATTTTTTAAAAGATTAAATTTGTGCACTGACCCTCCAATTTTTTAAATTCATTTATATAATCCAGTGACTCTCATATTTGAGCATGTATCAGAATTGCCTGGAGGGCTTGTTAAAAGAAACTGCTGGATCCCCCGCCCCATAGTGTCTGATTCAGCTTTTCTGGGGTTGGCCCTGAAATTTTGTGCTTCTAATAAGTTCCCATGTGGTGCTTGTGGGGGTACAAAAGCCATAACTTAAAAATCACTGCTGCAATTCATCGTCAGATGTTTCCTATATAATCTTCAATAATATTTTTAAAGGAGGGTATATTTTCTGTGCCATTATATACTTGGAATTTTCTTCTTGAATTGAGACATGAATATCTATTTGGATGTGTTATTCTTTCTCCAAGAAATATGTACCACTCCACTTTCTTTCATTATTTCATTTTGTGAGATAACATCAGAGCCTAACCAAATTGTTTTTCATTCTTATAATTCAAAATATTTTCTGGAATGTGCTTAGGCAGAATTTTCCTTATGGATTTTTCTCAGTAATCCGTGGGTTCTTTATAGCTGCATGCTTTAAAAATTATTATTATTATTATTATTATTATTATTATTATTATTCAGAAAAGTTAAATTAAATATATGCCTTTCATTCTGAGTTGATACATGAAGAGTGTCTGTTAAATGAGTTAAAACATAGAAATGAGCTTAGAATGGTGATAAGCAAATAACAAGTCCTAAGTAAATGCTAGAAATTCTTCTTTTCTTTGAATTATTCTGTTGTTCCACTCCCATTCTGATTCCTTCATCATGACTTTATTTTAGGGCTTTACTTTGCTGATTTTGATTTCACTGTGCTCTTTCTTTTATATTATTTATTTATTTATTTATTTTTGGAGAGATGCGAAAGGCTACCCTTCATAGCACATTTCCCACCATCTCAATTTTGTTGTCACAACATTGTGTTATTTGTGCTATTATATTTTTCTTCTTCACTATCATCCCATTATTACCCTTTTTCTTATTCATTCTGTATTTTTTTTTTGTCTCAGGCCCTATGAACTGCCTTTTATGCCTTTTCTATCTTCTTGGCTGGGCAAGTCCCATTTTCAGAACTAGAGAGAACACAACACTGATGCTCAGAGCCCAAAGCCAAATAAGAAGTATCAAGCCAACTTCCTTGGAACTCTGGGAGATTAAAGATGAAGAGTTTTAAATTGCTTCCTTACATTAATCTCACATACTCTGTATTAAGTATATAGACATTGTGTGTGTGCGTGTGTGTATGTACACACACGTACACACACACATATATATAATTCAAAGTAAGTAACGACTAAGAATTTTATTCTGATTCTACTTGAGGATCTTGGCTTCTGAGGATTAGAGCTCTTAAACATTAGTCATTGCCCCCCTCCCCCGCAACTCCTTGCTCATAGATTTTTTTCATTGTGGGTTCTATCCTTTGGAATTGATACCACTGCAATCCTGCTTGCCATAATTAAGTACTAAAGTGTTGAGTTCTTCATTCCTTTATTATTTACATCAAGCTCTAGTTTATAGGGATGCGCACGGGCGCGCGCGCACACACACACACACACACACACACACACACACACACAAATACCTAGACCATTTACAGACAGCATCCATACAATAGCAGCCTTTTGATGCATACACTCATGCATACATTCCCAGAATTACCTGGTCATCACTTAGGGAGGCTAAAGAAGGGCTTTCAATGATGTATTCCATCACCTTAAGCTTAATACCTGTATGTAAACCTCATGACATAGAGTACTTATAAGAATTTCATAATTCTGACAGTTGACTTAAAGTAAAGTGAACTTATGTTGTTCCTTAGAATTTTCATCATCCTCTATATCTTTGTATATTTCAGTGAGACCTTTTGAGAGTCCTCTTAAGGGTCTACTCATTTAAAATTCAACATTGAATTACTAGCAGTAGAGTGATCTTTGACCAGATATTCCATCAAAAATACTTTGTTTCTTTTCACTCTTTCTAAAACAAACTGTTTTAGTCAGCTATTTTGTTGTTGTGACCAGAAGATCTGAAGGGAATAATTAGAGCAGGGAAAGTTTATTTGGGAGCTCATAGTTTCAGAGGTTTCAGTCCATAGAAAGTGGACTCCATTGTTTTGGCACCAGCTGAGGCAGAACACCATGGAAGAAGGGTGTGAAGGAGGAAAACAGCTCAGGACAAGGCAAGAGGAAGGGGGAGGGGAGAGAGAGAGAAAGAGAAAGAGAGAGA